GCTTCCAAAATCGCAACGCACAGTAGTCACGTCAGGGAAATAGCCATGAAAATTGTCATGCAGAAATTTTTCTAGTGGCCAGATATGGCTGAACAAACCGAGAACTTCGTAAAAATTGTGAAACTTGCACGATGCTCGCATGGAAAAATTCTTTACTGTAATTATCATCAAGAGAACTTCCTGAATACATTTTTTTTCGTAATTAAAATGCATCGATTGACCGCCGAACGTACAAATGCTGCACTTTGCGATATCTTCAAACTATTGGGTTGCCCGAAGATCTTGCAAAGTGATAACGGTTCGCCATTCCAGAGTGTTCATTTATTTAACTTCTAGGAAGATAAGGGCATAAAGGTGCAAAAAGTAGTCCCACTAAGTCCGCAATCAAACGGAATGGTTGAACGTCAAAACCAAAGTATCATCAAGGCCTTAGCGGCCTCAAGAATTGATGGAGCCAATTGGTGCACGGCTCCGCAACGGTTTGTACATAACCACAATACCCTGGTACCCCACTCTAGATTGAAAGTAACACCATTTGAACTAATGGTAGGGAAGAAGTACCGCGGTACATTTCCTATTCTTTGGAATGATATTACCAATTCTGAGAAAAATTCGCATTTGGCGTCAGATTAGTTTACAGCATATTTGAACTTTGTACGCAGATTGTCATTTCCCATGTAAAATCATGCGCTGAAATGAAAAATGTAGTCCAAAAAAAGGTTAGTAGGATAGTTTTCAAGATTTAGCTACAAATTAAGTTTCACTTTAAAAAATGTGTTTACTAAAATAAAAATATCTCCGATTGTAATGAAGTTATATCAATTATTTTAAAGCCAAACTAAAGGTGATACACCGTAACGTGGGTAGATCACCTGTTCCTGGGTACGTTACGGGATGTAAGATCTACCACCGATTCCTAGTCCTGACTACTTCAACTAGGGGAACAGGATTTTTTAGTAATCCAAGGAACACATCTTGGTCCTTGTTACTTTTTATGCCTTGTTTGATAGTGACAAGACTCGGCTTTGTCTACCGAGGATGATCTTGACACAAGGAAAAAAAATGAGTTAGTTGTCTTCATCTATGTGATTCCTAATCTTCTATTCGTTGTTCCGTAGTTTGAAGTGGTTATGACTAGGGTTCTGATGCATGGTCATTATCGGTGTCATACCTTAATTTTGTTGCTAAGGAATCCAATTTTGACTGACAAAGGGGCGCGCCTTTGGAGGGTGTTTCAACACTCCGAAGGGTATAAATAGCGGGACCTTTCAATTAGAGTCGGATCCTTGCGATAAATGCAATAGTGGCAACTGTAAAAAAATCGAATACTTCATCATTTCTTAATAGTGATGGAGTAATACGACATGCACTAAACTAAGGACACGTGATATACTACAATAGATCAATTTACTGGTCGCAGTAGTGTTAGGTTCCGAACAAAGGAAAAAAAAAGGTGATAAAATTAGGTAAGTAGTACAACCACTACAAACATTTGACGTATGAATCATTGGTCAAAGATTCTAGTTCATTTTTTTATCTTTTATTTGTAAACTAGTGTTATCAGCTTTAAAAGCATGCTGTGGCTGTCAGTTGGATCTAATTATTTTCCCTGAAACGGCAATACTAGGGTAGAAAAGTTAGATCGCATCAACTTCAGGGAGACATACTCGGGATCTAAGTAAGCTAGCAAAAAGCATACTGATATCGTCAGAGGTGCTAGGAATTCGGACATTAGAATTGGATTGGATAGATTGCGAGACAAGGTGGAGTGGTTGTTATGAGTGGTAACGGTGTTCAATATGCGCGAAACGTTCGCGATATTAAGGAGGCATCTCCTAGCTATGAAGAAATGAAGAAAGCTTACTTGGTGAAAAAAGCCATTAACAAAACAGGATGGAAACTGAGACGCAAAATGGTTCTTTTCATCTTTGTCTATTAATTCCCAAATCTATGCTTACATCCGTCCTCAATATAGAGGTCTTAAGTACTTTCACAGTTGTTAGTTGGGAGCTTTCTAAGTCATTTTTATTTCGTATTTTGTAAGGCAAGTACAATGAGACCCTATGCCCAGGAAAGTCGAGATAGTTTCCAATTCGAACAACAACTTAAGCAGACAAAAAATTAACCCTGCCGCATCTAGTATGATGTTGAAGAATGGGAAACCCCGAAGTGTAAGAGTAGACAAGGAGAATAATGTAGTGGTTAGATTGTATATCAGAGTTACAGTCAACTCTCCACAACTCGATGGTCACTAACTCGATATCGAGTTATAGAACCATAGTAAAAATAATTTCATGGCTACTGTGATAGCGATTTTGTATAGGATTGTTATTCTATTACTCGATAATTCTATAACTCAATGGTCCCTTGAATATCGAGTTGTAGAGAGTTCACTGTTTATGAATACAATGAGAAAAGTGTGCAACTCTTCGAATGCAGATTGCAGAATGCAGAATATTCTCACATATCCCACAGATCTCAGTTCGAAATCGAAAGTCGAGCACTTGCTCGAACAGAAATCACTACTGGAAATCCGGCACGATGCAAGTAATAATTGGATTCAGTTGGTTATGTTCGGAATTAACGGACGTTTTTCTGCAACGATGGCGAGTAAGCGTCGCGAGCACGACAGTAGGTATAATTTGAGAAGTAAGCAATAATTATCAATTCAAATAAACCGTCGCGGAGTACACACTTCGTCCTTCGTCTTATAATATAGAAGTAACGCAAACACTATGCGTGAATAAATTGTTTTTCGTTAGTACATAGACGTTCTTCTTGTGTGTCCGAAACATTTTGAACGCTACCGGCGCGAACACTGGTCCTTCAAGCCGGACATTTCGGAAATACGGACGCTTTGTGTGGTGCAGTAGAAAAAGTAACAGGCTATAAGTGCGTGAAAGTCAACGACATTTATTGCACGAAACGGCTCGGAAGATTTAAATGAGACTTTCCCCCACGGAACCGCGGTATTCAGTGGGCATAAGCGTGTCACAGTGAAGTGAATTAGACTGTTGGTAGCATAGCAAGGCTGTTGGCGTATTGCAATCAATCCTCTGGCACGGCCATTGGTTCTTTAAGCTGCCGTCAGTGATAGCGGTGAAGATGATGTTGGAATAATTTTAAGCTTCGGTCATACGTAACCATCATCTTGGCTTAGCGATGAGTTTCACCATTCTGCACTTCTTTCTTATAATTTCACTTTCACGCACTTCTTTCTTATTATTTCATAGAGCGATAGAAACACAACTGAAAAACACCGAGTGATCAATATTTTTTCCTTGATTTGTTTTCCGTCGATCTTGTTTTCCGTGCTGAGCGCCAATGCTACCGACGCCAGGGAGGCATCTTTCACACCTGGATCCTACCTATCGACCCATCAACTCATGAACCGGGGACCAACGGCTTTACTTCCTTTGGCGTGATCAGAGATGTTATGTCTCAGAACATCCCGGTGGCGCCGACTAAGATTGAACCCAGGCCTGCTGGGGTTAGAGGTAATCACGCTTACCACCACACCACTTGCGCCGCTGAGAGATCAATTGAAAACACTAATCACTTGATAAATTTTCATCAATACCACAACGTTACCATGGCCTTCAAACAAACGCATAAACGGAGCTGAAACTCGTAATGTTTACATCAGTTGTCAATAGCTGACTGATGTATAATCAAACCAAAGATCCAAATAATCTTGCCGTTGATCTTGTCTGCTTCATTGTGAGCAAATGTTCTGTCGCCTGCAGAAAACAGTTTAGAAATGTCATGACATTTTTTCCGCTTGCCAGTTGGTGTTTGTGCGTCTTCTCTATGGTCATCGCGCAAAGTATCAAATGTTAAGGGAAAAACGTTAAACTCCAGTACTCGTGCCACCACTGGAAGAAACTGCTGCGTGGAGTACGATCCTGGCGTACCTGGTGTATTCCCGGTTAGATCACGCTACACTACGACACTGGGAAACGCACCACAACTCAAAGAATATGCAAACGTACGATCACGTTCCTGCGAAGCCAATGTTCTGTACACTGCATTCCATCACCCCAAGCAAACCATAATCACCCGAACGGAATAATTTCAAGGAGCGGTCATCGAAATCGTCAGTATGTCATACCGCCTTGTCGAAATTGTTCGGCAAGTACCCGTTCTTTAACGGTCCAAGGCATTCTACATTTGTATACGACAAGTTTCAACGATTGCTGGTTCCAGAGCGTAATTAGGCTGTATTGAAGGCAAAATTGTGTTGTGCCACTTAGCACGGAGCTGTGTAAAGGGAGCCTGTCATCACTGTCAACATAAGCATAACTCCTTGCTGCATTGTGGGCCAGCTAGATATTCCGTTCCACAATCACATCAAATCCTCCGACACAAACCAGACATTTTCACAATCCAAGCCATCGAACCCGAACCAACATACCCACATTATCAACACTGCTAAGGCTACCAACTCGCAAGGACAGAGTACTCAATCAGCCACAGACACAGCCACGTAGCACTCCCAATCACACCAACACAAAACATTCTCCTATCAACTGCACTTATAAAAATCAATGATCTTTTCGGCAATTCCATAATTACACGAGCACTGCTGGATTCGTGTTCCCAGCACTGCTTAATGGCGAAGGAATTTTCGAGTAGGTTATCCGTTCAGGGAATCGGTTCATGTAAAAGCACTTCAACAAGACTGGTCAGTGCAGTAGTGAGTCTGAGGTTGGATCGCATTTTGCCCTTCGTTCAAGAGATGTAGTTTCATGTCCTCCCAAGGTTGACTGTATCATTACCGAGAGCACCCTGTTATCCCTGCGGATGGAAGCATCTAGAATCGTCCCTTCTGTCCGATCCTCGCTTCTACGAACCAGGTCCTGTAGATGTCATTTTTGGAGCGGGATACTATCCCGAGTAGCACACTTTCATCACAATAAGTTACAGCAACTTGTTTATGACTGAAATAAGTCGTATATAAGTTTTTACAATTGATTTGCGATAAGCGTGCTACTAGGGATATGGACCTATTGCGGAGTGAACTGCGAAAAGCAACTGAAGATGGACCCACACTGCAGAACACGGAGTTCGGATGCATAGTTGGCGGCAAGATTCCCGATAAGCCATCCAGTGGACCAAACTCATGGGTTTTCATCTGTAGTACTGCAGATCTTCAAGACCAGCTCACAAAGTTCTGGAATCTGGAAACGTGCCGAAGTCTCAGCACGCATTCTCTCGAGGATTTTGCATGTGAAGCGCATTTCAATCGTACAACGATTAGGAACGAGCATAGGTGATTCATCGTCACGCTACCAAAGAAAAAGTCAGTCATAACCCAGCTAGGTTATTCGGATTTTTAGCAATCAAACGGTTCAAAGGGATGGAACGAAGATTTGCTGCGAATCCAGAACTGGAGGCAATGTACGGAGCATTCATCCAGGAATACCTCACTCTTGGTCACATGAAGGAGGTTACTGAAGAAGACGAAGCTACAGGAGTTAAGCGTTACTGCCTGCCACACTACGATGCTCTAAAGCTGGACAGTACAACTTCAAAGCTGCGAGTAGTTTTCGACGCTTCCTGTCATACATCAACGGGAATTTGTTTGAACGGGGTCCAGTAGTCCAAAATGATTTTGTATGGAGAATTTGGATAAAATACATGAAAAAATTACGCTCCTACATTCTATCGATCATAACAAAGTTTCCTAATTCTCGATTTGATTCAGATTTTCAAAACTTGTAGTTTATTTAATGAATAACAACTTTGCTGAAGATTGCATTATGAATCCAGTTAGTTTTATTGAGATATTCGCGTTTGAATGTATATGAGCAGTTTGTATATAAAAATTTAAACCAAATCTCATAAATGAACATTAAACTACAAGCGCAAGCCCTGTAACGTCAAAAACAGCTGAAACATTCAGAGGGTGGTTATCGCACCAAAAGACACGAGTCTGGATGTTGACCTGTGGAAAATAAGAACTTTTATTTTTAACTAGATTACCACTAAAAATATAATTTCATATTTTCCTGACGCTGCCTGTATTTTGTTGCAATATAGGAGGTTTTACTAAGGACTGTATCGAAAATAAGTTGTAGATACATTTTTCCTTACATATCCATAACAATAATAATTTTAATAAGATCTTTGATTTTTTATGTCATGTTGCAGATTGAAAGTTTACAATGATAATCAAACCAAAGTATTCTTTAAGCGACTAGTATCATTTTAGTTTAGTTCCTTTTATGAGATTTCGGACAGTGTATTGTTCCAGTATATTTTTGACTATTTCATGATTTTATAAGTCCTAATGTCCTTTTGAAGATGCTCTTCATAATTCTACCATTCTGTGTTAGCAATCGGCAGTCAATAGGCTGTAGTTGTGAACAGGTTGAATTGTGTCATTCTTGGTTAAAATCAAAGTTTATAAAAAAAAATTCTATTTTTCAGTAAGAATAAAGAATTGATTTCAAATTAGGCCAAAACAATCGCACGATTTTGCGTTTTCTTCACAACTTTTTTGATGGATGCTAAGACTACTGATATCATGAATTAAATTCATAAAATATTGTAGGATGGGTACAAAACTGCGAAAAACCTATTTCGTCACACTTTCCAACATTTCCAAAATTCCAACGAAATCTTAGATCATAAAACTGTCTTATAGAATATATTTTTATTTGTTTTGTGAAGTTAACTTCTTAAGAAAGACGTGACATCAATATTGGAAGATCCTGTTTTTTACATTTTAATTTTTTTTTATGGATTTGGAAAAAACAAATTATGTTCAATTTAGTCATCAGATCAAATCATCAATAAAATTGGCATTTCTGATCATTGGCTCATGACAACGAATCAATCCGGGTACAGAAAACGATACAGTTCAAGAACATTCCTAGCCAAGATAACCCATGACATTTACAGTAAATTTGACGGTAGTGCACTGTTATGGTTCTGATTGACTTTTCACTCGCTTGCAATTGCGTGAACCATCTGAAGCTGAACGATACATTAACGGGATGAATTGAAGGCACACCCCAACGATCATGTTTAAGTGTTCTCCTTTTAAGTCTGTATAATAACAGTTTGCCACAAGGCTTGAGATACCAATATTAGCTTTATACAGTTACTTACTTTACTTTACTTTTGCAGGTCTGACGTCCCTCAGGATTTCATCTGCTGTACAATGTTGGGGCAACAGACTCGGTTCATGGCTGCTTGTCTCCAGTTTCCCGAGGATCCCAAACTTCCTATATCTTGCTCCACTTGGTCTAAACACCTACCTCGCCGTAGTCCTCTTCGTCTGGGACCGGTCGGATTCGAGGCAAACACCATTTTTGCGCGATTGTTGTCCGGCATTCTTTCAACGTGTCCCGCCCATTGTACTTTTCCAACTTTAGCGATTTTCCAAATACTTGCCTCGCCATAGAGTTGCGCCAGCTCATTCTTCTCCTCCATATGCTGCACAGTGCGTTGAATGTATGGGAAGTCAAAACTGGAGGTTTTAGTCAGTTTCAAATGTGTTAGTGATGACAAAAACTGTTATTTGCATAAATACTATGTAAAGTAGTGCAAAACGTTGATATTTTCATGAAAATTGTTCATTATCAGGATGATTTTTTTGCGTAACATGTATTAAAAGTATTCACTAAAGTGACTTAAACGTCAACACCTTTAAATTCTTCAGAGAAATCGGCTGTGTCATAAAAACTGGACAAAATATTGAACAAATGATCTTTTCGTGTGGATCGATCAGCAGAAATACATTGCTCAAAACAATACTTATTATTGATTGTGGGAGCAGCATCAAGAAAAATGTAAATTGCGATTAAAAGAGAGATTTGTCCCAGTGTTAATATTAAATGTAGCTTTTACTTGCATGCTTCAAAAGTTTCCATTTAAATTTTCAGCTGGAAACATGTCGAGTATATAGGATAATGTAATTGACATATGAATATTATGTGGGGGCGACCCCGGCGTAGTGGTTAACATCCATACCTCTCACGCCAAAGTCACGAGTTCAAATCTCACCCCCGGACAAGTCACGAATGACCCAAGAGTGTTAAAGTGACTATAATAATAATAAAAAAAAAAAAAAAAAAAATGAATATTATGTGTGCATACGCGTCATCCCTAACACGATGAGAGTGGAGAACTGACCGTAGTTTTTTTTCCTGATTTGTTTTCCGTCGATCTTTTTTTCCGTGCTGAGCACCAATGCTGCCGACGCCATGGACCCTACACATGGACCCTACCTATCGACCCATCAACTCATGAACCGGGGATCAACGGCTTTACTTCCCTTCCGAAGGAAGGCGTGATCAGAGATGTTATGCCTCAGAACATTCCGGCGGCGCCGACTGGGATTGAACCCAGGCCTGCTGGGGTGAGAGGTAATTACGCTTACCACGTCACTACTAACAATAGTGAGACGGCGGGTAGTGTTTGTTTGTTTGTTTTCGACCAGTGGCTCATTGTGAGATATTACAGCTAGAATCAATATTAAGGTGAACCCTAATCCAACCAACCAAACGTACTAAAAAATTCTCCTCTCCTGTGAGCTTTGTGGGGACGGAGAGGTAAACATGGTCCCCAAAACAACAAAGGTCACTCTAATATTCCTTCCCTTCTCCCAACTGATTGCAAGGACGTGGTCGGCGCCGTTATTGATCTTTTAAATTTGGAGTCACTGAAACTTGTACAATGAGAAAGGACGGTAACATCCATTCAGTTGATTCATTGTGCATTTTCACTGGTTCTGATCAATCATGGAGTAGCAACCATTGATATGTGCAGTCAGTCTTAGCTTAGCTAAGCTAGTGCATATTTATGTATACAAACGTCACGAGATGAATTTCGAGACGCAATGCATTTGGGGAAACAAACTTTGTTCGAAAAATAAGCTAACATACAAATTACAAAATTATTTTAAAAACCTCCCGGCAACCATATTGCAGAATCTATTCATGTCGTGGACCATTAAAAATTCTGCATATTTTTCATGCAAATCTGTAATCGAATCTTACATTTCCCGGTTTGGTGACGACAGAGGTATGCGGTAATTCATATAGTTTCTGCAGTTGATGGTTAATTTTCAATATCCGAATGATACTGCCATCAACGAGGACGACGACGACGACAACAGCGAATTTGAAGCTACTCTAAATGGCCGCGGAACGCTCAAAAAGTTAAAATTTTCTTTTTGTAAATTATTTTGTAGCAAAGTTAGGATGTAAGGCTAAATCGATTTTTTTAGAGTATGCTTACAATCTGAGTAAAGTTATCCTCGACTTTCTTCATATTCGAGCAGATTTTTGATTTTTTTTTAAATTTGTATCTTGTTTGTACAAAAGATTACGTCTTGACGATAGAAATTTCACAAAGAATTGGCATTGGGATTTTTTCCTGGAACATTTGAACCTACCGTCTGTGTGCTTGTGGGCAGCTTAATGTATCACATTTCAAATTTGCAGCCAGCCAGCCAATTTGCTTGCAGTTCAAGATAAACGATTTCCATAAATTATCTTCTCAACTGGATCTCCAGCAAATTCCATGGAGCCATGGAAATGGGCCATAATTTCTCATTTGGTCGTACAGTGTCACCGGCTGTGTTTGCCTGTCCATACAGCTAACTTTTACCCGAGAGCTGTCAGTGGACTGCGCACCCTGGAGGAAGAGAAATAGTGTTGAAAGACTAATAACGACATATATTGATGTTTCCAGTGGAGTGTTATTCGATACAAATTATATTCAAATTAGCGAAATCGTTAAAATATATTATGTCATGCAATAAAATGTCACAACCGTAAAAGGGAGACTGTCGTGATGGATCAGCAGAATGCTTTTCTTCAATAAGCTTTGTCAATGAACATTTTTAAAACGTGATATGTATTATTACGGCCGGTAAATAATTCCTCGATAGAATAAAATAAAATTCTTCAGAATCCTAGCTATCAATCAGAATGATATACATCAATAGTCGAGACGTTTTATATATTATTATTATTTTCTAGATTTAGGTCAAAGTTCTTACCGCATCCACAGTTAATCAATGAGAAAACTAAAAACGGCAGAACACATTTGAAAATTAGTATCGGAGCTATAAAACCACTACTTAACAGCTCGTGAAGCTCGTTAAAGTCAGGCAAATACATGCAACTAGTCGTTTCTCTCAAGTGTACCAGCATGTAAAGGTAATCCATTCGCTTAGGTCCGTTAGAAACAGATGGATATTTTCCCATTAACAATTTGCTGACGTTTGTAGGGCTACTTATGATGTGTCTGCTGGAGTTTCCCCATTTTTTCATGTGCTTATACGTTTACATCTAGGTATTATGCAGAATTTAAGGCAAGTATATTGTTTTTCTATTGAAATTAATCTACATATGAATGATAACGGATTATACTAAATACGTCAATGGTAGAATGGTAGTTTTAGTTTTTAAATTAATTTAAACTTATTTGTATTCATAACCAAGTGATGATGGCATTATTTAAAACATTTATATTTACTAGGATTGTTGGGAATAAGTCAGTAGCCCTGCCCACTGGACAGTATTGGTCTCTGGAGCTCAATAATGAGTGGATGTTAGTATAATTTTATCATCAATACAAATGGTA